TTCCCATTCGAGACATTCGGAAAACCTCAAACGGGCTTAACAAAAGAACGTATCTATGTCGATTTCCGATACGGCAGACGGGAAACTCACCGATTAATAGTTTCCGCAGTGCATTTTCTTATGTAACGAGCGACGCCGAAACCCGACAAACAACGTTTGCAACATCTGCTGTCAAGAGCAGATCCGAAATGATTGAAGTTTCCACCCTTCAACCGACGAGTTTTCCCGGTTTTTTCTTCAGCGAGTAGGGCGAGGAAAGCTTTTAGCACTTCAAGATAGGGTAGATTAAAAGAAACTGATCGTTAATATTATATTAGTTTGAAAAAGAAACTCGTTATCTGCATTATTTATGTTTTTTTTATTTGATGAGGGAAATGCATGCAGACGGAAAAATTTTGTACAATAAAACAATGGTCCGTTGAGTACACTTTCATTTAGCGCGTTCTGAAAAGGCGCAACAACTTCGACGCCAGAAAGAGGAGATTAAATTAAAGGCCTCGACGTTTCGCCATTTTGTTAAGGACAGAGGATAAAATCATTTGAGCGGAATTGTTAGTTGGAAATTTTCATTTATATTTAAGCCGGTATCCGTGCAGTGGCGAACATTCCAATCTTTCCAAAGAAAATCAATCAAAATCTAATATATTGTAGGCGATCGAATTATAGGTAGGTACTTTACACTGTAAAACCGATAAGGAAATTGTACTCTTTTTCATCCGCCAAAATTTGTAAAGAACACATCAATTTTATATTTGATCCATCCACCAAAAAGTAGAACGTAATTCTACCAAAATGTTAGAGATTGGGTAAAAAATAATGGCGCAATTTTCACCTGTCATTCCACCCCCGAAATTTAGGAAATAATATCACGCGCCTTAATAAATAATTTCACACGAATTCGAGGAAAAATACCCCTAGAGTGCGCCACTTTCGAGCGAGAGGAACTCAAACAACGTAATTACCCGAAGATGACACGGAAAACGCGCAGGAGAGAAATAAAGGATTTGCACGGAGAAAAGGAAAATATAGACGTCGGATTGGGGTGTGTGTCAGAGGGTGGTGTTCGTCGAAAAGAAAATGATAGGATTTGTCCGTCTTCGAGTGAAATCACCCTGTCAAAATCGTTCTATTATCCTTTAGGCAGTGAGAAATTCTTGGTCTTCCATTAAATTAAAGGGGTTTTCATTCATTCAATTCGAAGCACCCGAACGCTGAGCTGTATAATTCTTCAAAAACATCCAGGATATAAATTATTCACGAGGAATCTCTCGAAAAGTGTTTAATCTAAAAGCTGCGAGTCGAATTTAAAATTACGTTATTTTTATTTATTAAATATTTATTTTCGAATTAGGTTTCCTACGTGAGGGAATTATTTATGTATTTCTCCTAATCCATTTGAGGCAGATTTATTTTTCTTCTTTTATATAGGTACGTTCCTTTTGTTCGTTTGCTGCTAAAAGTATAGAGTTGTATTTCGCAGAAAGTGAGTCGTTCAAAAAACTCATTTCATACTTTTGGAAAAGCTCCTTCATTAATACTTACCTGAACTCCAAAGTTAATAAAACTCTCTCAACTTCGCCTTTTCCTTCGATAAAAAACACACATTATTCTTTTATTTTTCGTTCGCGTCTCTTTGCTTAAGAAAGGAAATTACAAATTACCGCAGGTATTTCTCCTCCGGCGAGATAACTCTTCCGACCTTTGTGCATTTTTCAGCGCTAACAAAACATTCTCATATTTCAGGAGCATTTTCCACATTGGTTTCCGCGATAAGTAATCCAAAAGTTATTCATGAAGATATAAATACTGGAAACTTTTTACATCATTTACAGAACTTGTTTGATTTTGTAACACATTATAAAGGAAACCTCGAAAATCGAAATTTTAATTAATAATCGAATCCGGAGTATTTCCTTTATATGGAAAATGGGAAAACTTCTCCACATTGTTAGGCTAATGAAAATTGAAGTCCGACGCGGATGTGTTAATAAATCATATTTTCGACGTAGATATACGTATAGTTAGGTAAGTGAAAATGTCCCACGTGATGTGATTGATACTATTCTCTGGTATGTTCTCACTAGTTTACTTCTCAAACTTCCCCTGGTTCAAACAAAGGTGAAATATGTCTTTTATGTGACTTTCTTGGGTTTCGGTTAGGGAAATTGCCGGGAGTTTTAAATGTCGCTCGATATAAAATCTCTTTAGGATCAACCTAATTTAATATTCGTTTCAAGTGTTTGAATTTTAATGTACAAAATACACCTTTGTTTGTATTTTAGATTGGAAAACTTTCCGAAAACGTACCAACAGTTACGGTTCCGAATCCGTTTAAAGACGGTTTAATTAATATAACCGACTAAGCTAACTTTTGGAGTATTTCATCTCACAATAATTTTCTTATTTTTCGTCGGAACATGAACACAGTATGCAATAGAGAGTACTTTTTAAATCCCCGCTGAATCTTCGGGATAAGAATGAAGCAAGTTGCACTGGAAACCTTTCCATTACAGCAAACTCCAATTTCCTTTAATTTTTTTTACTTAGACGTTTTCGCGAAGCGCGTAGGGGCGTAAAAGGAAACAGTATTTTCCATTCGAATTCGATTACATTTACCTAGTTGGATGGGCTCGATCGGCCGATTAGAATTCTCGCGCTCGCCGACGTACAAAAAAGCAATTAGGCCATCTTGAATTAATGGCGTGACAAATCGAAAATTAGGAATTCACTTCCCTTTTTCCTTTTTGGTTGAAGTTCTTTTGCGAATCTCTAAAACTTTTATAGATGTTTATGAACAGGAAAAGAAAATGGAGCTAATATTTACGCGGAATAATAAAATGCAAGTAGTTTTTATGTAAAGTCCTACTATAGATGGAGAAATTAAAACTTGGCATCCGACTAGTTCGAATAGCCGCCTATACAAAAACGGCAATTTAATTAAAATTTCAAAAGATCTAATTAACTCGGGCTTTTCGGAGTACAAAGCTCGAAGAGAGTAAACAATATCTAATCTCATATTATAGTACATTGTTCTCGGGTGTAACAAAAGAATCTGAAACCAAAAAAAGGGAAGTCTTATTAATAATACAGGTGTATATTTCATCTTTCTCGCCTTTTCTTAGACGCGTCCAGCTGAGAAATGAATTAGGTCGACGTTAAATTGCTCTATTTTCATTTGCGATATCCCTCGGAGATGATGATTACCGCTATATTTTTCAAAGATGATGCAACTACATCTGTTCGTTTACTTTCCCAGCTTGATAAAATATTTATGTTTGTAATAATATAAATTACTCTACCAGTTCATAAAACTTGTTTAGCAAACACCTCTGCTTATTTAGTATTTTTATTTTCTCACTAGTTTTATATTTCGTATTGCACCAATCTCTTTTTCGGAGCACCCTCTTAACTGTTGAATTTTTCAGTTTTGTAATGCTAGTGAGGCGGAAAGCAAATAGAACACGGGTTTTCTGAAAATCGCGTCGCCACAAATTTAATGAAAAATACCATTTCAAAACGAAGAAACGCCATAAACAATAAGAAAACGGCGTTTCCCGGATTAACGGACGCAACCAGGCGATTTAATTTCCTCTCTAGGAGAGGCGGTTTTCTCGAAATAAAAAGCAATAAAGCGGCGAACTGACGATAAATCTCGGTGAATACTATGGCTCGCGATGTCATCATCGTAATTAAACACTAAGTGATCTTTATTGCTGGTTAATTCCTCTAATGATTTATGCGTTTCAGACGGACTAATTCACCTACATCATGATTACCGCTTGTCAAGTCTCAATCTCCAAGGGATCAATTCGGTAAGCACTCATTCTAATTATTACCTACTGCATTTATTAATCATCATTTCTAATGTAAACTAATTAACATTTCTATTTCGTATGTTAAACTTAAATCACCCTTTTCTAGTTCAAATAACTGTACTACAAGGAAAAATGCGTTTTGTAAATGAGGAGAACGGAGTATAATAAAATAAACGTACCGAATTGAAATTGATAACATGCCGCAATACTCGTCAGTGTGATGATTCATTATCAGTAATGAATTTAATTATGTTATTCGCTGATTGTGGAAACGCATTATACCAGAAACTCATCTGATTTTAATGGCACAAACTGTGGAAAATTTCGGCAAACCGAACAATAATTCGCGTTGAATTTACAGCCGAACGAAAATGTTTTTGATAATAAGTGAAAATGCATATATCGATATAAATATCTATAGCGAAACTTTTACTTAAACGTAATTAACTGCATTATAATTGGATAAAAACAACAGTTGAATGAAAAACTAGGAAGCAGATATAAACACATAAATCCGAATTATAGCCATTCGGCGCAAAGTTGAAACAGAGGAAGTCGAAAACTTTTCTCCGCATATAGATATACGAAACGAATCCGTTGTTCACTTGGCGTTATCAAAATAGGAAACAGATTCACGTTTTGTCGGTTATTAATTGCCGAACTAAACGGATTTGCGTTCCCGGTCCTCCCAGTTTCCGTTCGTTTCTTTTCGAGCGAAGGGAACTGCTACATAAGTTATATCTTCATTGTCTGTTTCGCCGGTTGTTCGTGCCCGTAGAATCGAATAATTAGCTTTTATCCCTAAAACGTTAAGTTTATATAATTTGTAGGCATGAGATATGCGTTTAGCTTTCCCTGAATGTGTGCTCGAGAAAGGATATAATGTGTTTACAGGAATTATTAGCGCTCGTTCGCGCTCTAACTACCACATTAATTTTATCGCTCGAATGTACAAAATTCTCAAGAAACTACAAAATTGATACGTATGTTAGTAAATTCGACTTTATTATAGGTATTTATTAGATCATATAAATGCTATAAAATACATGATCTTGTCAATATAAATAAGTATATTTTATTCTTACACTGACACTTTCACTAAAGAATCATTACCTTTCGAAATTGATACGTGAAAATTTGAATAAAGAAAACATTTTCGGAATCCTCAAGATATCCGATACTCACCGAACACGTCCAGACAGCCCTTCTGCGATTTGAGTATCTGGGTGTTTATCTGGCACATGTAGCATCCCCTGTCCGACTCCTTCACCGGCCTGATCCGCAGTTTCCACGTTTCCGAATCGTCGTGGGTGACGCTCACGCGATTGTTATGAGTTACCACTCTCGTGTGGAGACTGAGAATGGTCTGATCCTCGGCCCTTACCCAGGCGACCTGAAACACACAAGCACGCCGGTGATGAATCGAGGCGATGCACCAGAGCAACGCTGAAAAATCGAATCGAATTGGATTCGAGATCGACACGATAAAAACGAATCGAATGTTTGGGGCTGGGAATTTTCTGCAGCCTTTCTCGAGGAAATCGAGTAGATAATTCAAGTGTTTACTCAAATAAATATTGTTTGTAGATTTGTTAGAAATGTAGGTATTATAGTTCGTTGAATCGATATGGGTAAGAAGGTTCACTTGCGCTACTTCCTCGCATACATCTCTTGGGAATATTAATTAGCAAACTTGGTAGATTCGGGTGGGCAAAAAAGAAAAACCCCCATTTTCCTCGAGCATTATTATCTTAGGAAACGGGGGAGAATTAATGATCCAAGTTTGGACACCCTAATAACATATACTGTCGTCCCGGCCATAATCCACTAATAGAACTAATCTTATATTCCAAAGAGATTGCTTCCTTTATTGGCAGTCGCGACACTATCACCTGAATCCCAAAACATTGAGAAAATAATTAGTCACTCGGCGAGTTACCCAATCGAGCCCGGAGATTCATTTTCCGTTGAATATTACGGTGAAAAGCGTTAATTAATTCGTCGGCGTAAGGTAGGAGTATAAAAGCATAAAAAAGTAGTTTGCTCAAAGTAACATAAAGTAGAGGTGTAATAAAAAAATACTCATTGAAACCTAATTGATGAAGTACAAATCTAAAAGTTTAAACTATTTTCAGTCCTATAATCAATTAAAATTCGCGGGTCAATTTTAATTAATAACTCAATAAAATCGGTCATTATTCGATGTTAACGCGAATTCGTTAAATTTAATTACGCGCAAATTTCGAAGGAATGGATTTATTATCAATTAATTAAAAATAACAGCTGCTTTCGACTTTTATAAACATTTTACTGACGCTTTTTACTCGAATAATCCAATATTTAGAGCATCCACCAATTAGATATAATTGAAATAGTTATTTTAATCGAGCGGCGTATAATTTAAAGATAACAGAAGGGAGTTTTTAGATTAATTTTTTGCATTAAATTTCATTAAAAAGTGTAGCAAACTTTTCAGGGTAAAGTTTGTAGTAGAAATAATGCGTCCGTGTTAAAAGTAGGTTAAATTAAAGGAGTAGTTTTTCAACACGTCGACCGCCGGGGAAATTGGTTTAAATCCGACGTCGTAGCGGGTCGCATATTCCTTAACGCAAACGTTCCCCAGAAAAGTAGTCTCGTCGCTTTTCATATTTTTCTCGCGCCGCATTCTGAATACAAAACGTCTCATTACGGTCAAATTGGCCGAAATAGGAGTACACAAGCCCCGAAATCAGAGGTTTTGTAAAATATTACGGGAACATGTCGTTTCGACGCCCGAGCACCGGCCGTTTTGCATATATGGAAATAAATTCCTGATGCGCGATCGTGGAAGCCGTCCGGGCCAAAAACATGTTTATTTATTACTTATGCCTTTAAGAACTCGCCCCCCTAACAAGCGAAGAAATATCCGTCGGCGCGCTGGCTTTTCAATGGGGCGATTACTGCAAAAACTCCATCTTCGACGGGACGCGTCGCTAAAAACCTGCCAATCTTTCCTCCGGATTCAATTAACACCTTTCGAGCGGAAACGACAAAGCCTCGATTCTAAAGAGGCCGAATTCGAAGGCTGACGTTTATTCGATTTCGCTCCAAGAGGATTTCGATGGCTTGGACCTCATTATAATGAAGGGGAAAATATTTGTGTGTCTTTAGTTTTCCGGTTGGAGGGATTGGATCTATACCGCCTTTTTAAAGCAAAGAAACGGTTTATTTCCAACTGAATTTCTCCAAACATTGCAGCAAAAAGCTTGTTTAATACGGATTACCCTTTAAAAAAAACTACATGCCAAATTAATACATATACACCTAAATTACGTATGGTGGCACAGCCAGAGGCCAGTTCCGAAACGAAACTGATTGAAACCTCGGCATGTAACTAGTGAAAAAATGCCGAAATCGAATTCTGAGTGGGCTGGCATGCAATCCGAAATTATTAGAGGCGCCGATAGAAATTAACGACACGCTCCAACGCGTCGTTTACGTTACGAAACCGCCGTTTAAATTACACCGGACACTTAGTCACCGGTTATTACGAGTCGTTATTTCGCTCTAAAAGCTTGTGTAACTGCACCGAATTAATTGCGTACCATCGGGGGAGTTGCTCGATAAAAAATGTTTATAACATGACGATTACACGCCATGATAAGTACTAAATGTGTGATTAAGTATACTGAAACCTGTATAAAAAAGAGGTAAATGCATTCTATTATAGTCTCCGATTGTAGCATGAAAATCCTTTTGCAGCGTTAGAGCCGATCGGTTCATTAAACCTATAGATACTTGAATACTAAAGGGATCAATTTATATAGAGTACTCGCCTATCTGCTCGAATATTATGTATCTATAATATTAAATGGAATCAATAGTTGATGTGCTTATCCAGTTCCGGTAACGAGTATGCTGGAAACTTGATTTGCCATAGATACGATGGAAGATGTGAAGAAAAGGATTCCATTACAAAAATTAAAAAATTATTTATTCGAAAGCCTAAATTTTTTACTTTTTATGCGACCTGCCGAGGCGACGCAATGCCGAATGAATTATGTACCGAATCGATATGCTTTCTATAAAATGAAATCACCGCGGCCATTGTTGGTTGTACATTTTAATCCGCGTTCTAATTTCGTATATAATAAATTTTTAGCGTTTTGCAACAAAAGCCGTGCTCCGTTCGATAAATTCGCCAATATCGGTATTTATGTTGCAATTAATCATAATAAACGGTTTTTAAATAAAGGCCGCGAGTTAAACTGAAAATTAACGCCAACTAAACGCTACATTTTATTATTTATTTAATGCACTTATTTTTTTCTAACAAAGGCTCACGTGCGATTAAAAAATGATTACGCGTTAATCACTATCTATACTAAATTCGAATTTCGCATGTGTATATTGTATAAGAGGCACGCCCAGTTGCTCAAAATAAATTGAAATTGTTCACTCAATCTTGCTTTACAATCAGTACTAATTTGCAAGTTTTATGTCTATCATGACATTATATTAAGTGCCTATATTTAACACTACACTCACATATCCACCCAGATAAGAAACACAGATAATTAATAAATTAGTATCAACAGGTTGGATTTAATTACACATAATTTAAATAGCGAAATCATCCCACTTATATACTCATTCAACCATGCACTAGATATTTGGCTAAAATAATAAACCAATTTTCGATTATGCATTCCAAAATTTGAAATAAATTGATTAACACGAAATAGAAACGTGTTTTTTTCCGGGTAATTACTCTAATTCCTCCGGACGTTTTGCGCTCGTACGGCGGACTTCAATAATTCACATGCGAAATGCGAATGGGATGCGAAAATTGTATACCTTGTATTCGGGCATTTAGTGGGATACGTTTTGATGTTATAATGGGATTATCATTGCTGTATTTCCGGCCTGTATCTCACCCAAAAACTAATCCGTTAATCCGACTAGTCTTATCGAAGGACGTACAAATTGAAAACTGAGATTAGTTTCTATACATAAATGCCAGAAATTTAATTAGTTCAACTAACGATTACCGGTCGTTATCCAAATTAATGATGCACCTACATACATGCACCAGTTCTTATACATATATTCTATAATAATAACACATGCATATACTACATATGTACATTGTTTCCAGAAGATTTAAATTATATCAGAACCATTACGATCGCAATCAGGTCGCTATGTTTTTTCCTTTGTTTAACTGGACGCCCTTTACATTGATTAAGTTAACAACGTCAACCTTATTAGAATACATAACAGTAATAATATTAATAGAAATTTCCCGGTATCACAATCCTCGTGGAAATATATATGCAAAACGACTAAACCTAAATAGTTTTCTGTAGTACAACAACTTTCCATTTGCATATTCAAATTAGAAACATTGCATTCAGTTTAGGGAAGATTCCGTAATTTATGTTTAATATCTAATTAATTTAAGTCGCCCGAGCGAAGATTTCGTTACGCCCGAACTCCGTGGGCGACGCGACGTCCCATAAAAGTCGTACGCCGAACGAGTGGTACATTAATTAACTTTTATGATTTCCAAGGACCTGTAACAAGAGCATTTCCGGCTGTTTAGAATTTATTCGGAATTAACCACTTTTTGCGCGTTTACGGAGAGTTGTTGAACTTAAACTCAAGCTAAATTGCTTAGCATAAACTCTACTAACTTAATATTGTTTTATTTGCTGTTGTATATTTAAAGTGAGTGGTTTGTGGTATCTGTTATATAGTTTTTATTTCTGTAAATTTAATTTTGTATTCATTTCGCCGTCTGCGTACTCCAACTCTCTTTGTACATTCTTTGTTTATATAAAACAATTCGCACGCGAACGTTAGCATGTTATATCCAACTTTTAATTAAGCAAAGTCAAATAGATTAATTCCCCGTTTTATGACAAAAAGATAACGAGCTCTTTAACCCGGGGTAGATAAGTTTTTCCGATTTACCCGCCTCTCCTCCTTCGGGCACCGACAATAAATAAAATACGGAGCAAATTCACGAGACCGTGCATGCATTCGAGATGCAAATACCATTATTCGGCTGATGACCTATATTTTTAGCGTTTTCTTGCCGCACGAAACGTAGTGTGCCGAGAATATAGATTAATTAGGATTTTATAATTGCGGATAATACCAACATGACGCGTTTAAATCGATTTTTTGATAGTTGTTTTTTTTTGGTTCACTGTAAATTCTTATAAATGATTGTTATCGTATTAATGAGAATTCCTGTAGACTTTTATCCTTTTCGGGATAAACGAGAATGTTGTAATTTTTCTCGACGTGTAATAATTCTCGTAGACGACAGTGAGCGATTGTCCGTTTGTTTCTTGCTTAGGAAAATTATAGCGACAATTTTTTACATGACAATAGCAAGGAAGTATC